CTGTCAGAGCCTTTCACTGGGAACAAGTGGCAGTTATGGCACCTGTTGTACACACTGCATGCAGGTGGATGATCTCCGCTGCCAAGTGGCAGGCTTGCAAGAAGAAGTTGAAAGGCTAAAGAGCATCAGGGAAACTGAAAATGAGATAATCTCGTGGATCCAGCCTCTGACTACTTTGACATGGGAATGGGACCCATCAGAAAGTGTGCAGCATCAGGGAGCCACTGTATACTGCCCCTGCTGGACCACAGGCAGTAGCCTGGATGAGGGGATTGAATGGAAGCAAGTTCTTTGTCATGACAACAGACTCCTTCCTTGACCACCTCACCTCCCCAGGTGCCACTGAGAAACAGATATGAGGCTCTGGTTAAGAAAGACCAGCCAAATGAAGATGTGGGCATTGGGCAGCCTACACCAGAAATATGTCCACAGTTGGAAGGACCTACCACCCGCATTACAACAACATCTGTAAGGAAGAATGAAGGGTTGTAGGTGTATGTGGCTCCCTTCTGAGGGGAAAAAGGGTCCCGTATGCCAGGTAGACCCTCCTAACAGAAATCTGCTGTTCCCCTGGAGCCCATGTGAAGGATGTCACTAGGAAACTTCCTAGTTTAGTACGGTCCTTAGACTACCTGCTATTGATTTTCCATGTAGGTGGAGAGCAAGCTGAAACTTGTAGTCTAAGAACAATCAAAACAGCCTCTAGATCACTGGGGCAGGTGGAGAGAGATTCTGGGGCACAGGTTATATTTTCATCTCTTCTTCCAGTTGCAGGCAGTGACACTGGAATGAGCAGATGAATACAGTCTGTTAATACATGGCTTTGTAGCGGGTATCATTGCAACAATTTTGTTTTTTTTTGACAATGGGATGGCCTATACAGCACCAGACTTGTTGGCACCTCATGGAAAACATCTTTCTCAAAGGTGGAAGAGGGTCTTTGCACAAGTGATTGCAGGGCTGATTGTCAGGGCTTTAAACTAGGTTTGAAGGGGGAGGGAGATGTAACTGGACATACTAATGAGACCCCTTGGTGTAGTAGCTCAGCATCTGTGGGACTGCATGCTAGCATTTTTGAGAATCAGAAGGCCTAGCACCCATTAAAAATGAAAACTGTGTTCTCAGCTCCCTCTCTGAAATGCTTACACACCAATGCATGCAGTATTGGGAATAAGCAGGAGGAGCTGGAGATCTGCATTAGGCCACAGAGCTACGATATAGTTGGAGTTTCTGAGACATGGTGGGACAGCTCCCATGACTGGAATGGTGTCATGGATGGCTATATACTCTTTAGGAAAAACAAACCAACAAGGTGAGGTGATGGTGTTGCTCATTATGTGTGAGAGCAACAGGAATGCATTGGACTCTACCCGGGGGGGAGGAAGAACATGTTAAAAGCTTCTGGGTAAGAATTAAGGAACACAAATGTGGGCAAAACTGTTGTGGGTATCTACTATAGACCACCAAGTCGGGAAAAAGATGATGAGGCCTTCTACCTCCTGCTGGAAGTAGCCTCTGGATCACATGCCTTAGTGCTGATGGGTGACTTCAGTCACCCTGATATTTGTTGAAGATCCCACACAGCCAGTCATACTCAGTTCAGAAGGCTCTTGGAGTCCATCAGTGTTAACCTCCTCATACATGTGGAGGAACTAGTGTGGAGAGGTGCACTGCTGGACCTTGTGTTAACAAATAAAGAAGATCTGGTTGGGGATGTTAAGTCTGTGGATGACCTTGGTGACAGTGATTATGACATGGTAGAGTTTGGTGTTTTACAAGGGAGAAGGGTTACAGTAAGTAACAGTAAGGATTGCATCCCTAGACTTCCAGAGGGCTAACTTTGTGCTCTTCAGTGATCTACTTGCAGGTGTCTCATGGGCTAAGACTCTAGAAGGTAGGCGGGCAAGAAAGCTGCTTAATATTCAAATATCACTTACTCCAAGCTCAAGATAGGTGCATTCCTTTGAGTAAAAAATTGGGCAAAGGAGGAAGGAGACCTGCATGAATGAGCAAGGAGCTCCTGAAAAATGTAAGGTGGGAGAAAGAAATTCAGTTTGTGGAAGAAGGGACTTGTCACTTGGTAGAACTACAGGGTATGTAGGAAGGCAACAAGGGAGGCCAAAGCCACCTTAGAACTAAACCTGGCAAAGGAAATAGAACAAAAAGAGCTTATTCAAATACATCAGTGGTATAAGGAAGAGTAGGGAAAATGTGGGCCCACTGTTGAATGAAGTGGGAACCCTGGTAACAGAGGATGCCAATGAGACAGTTATTGAATACCTTCTTTGCTTCAGTCCTTATTGACCTTCCAAGACCAGACCTTGTGAATCCCAGACCCTGTAATAAGAGAAAATGCCTGGAGAAAGGAAGACTCTCTGCTTGCCAGTGAGGATTTAGTTAGAGTTAAGTTGGGTAAACTGAACATACACAAATCCATGGGCCAAGGTACTTGAGGTCTTTCAGTAGCAGTTGCCATATGAACCTAAGAATTTCACATTTGTTGGGAATAAAATAATTGTATCAAAGAGTATCTTATGATACCACACAGCAAACTCATTAGGTGTTTCTCATTTCTGAGCAGTGGTTAGTTTACCCTTAATTTTAAATCTGTACTTCTCTCTCTGCAGAAGTGTTTGTAGAGGGAAGGGAAGCTTCCTCTCCTGCCAGTTAAAAACAAAATATACACAAGGGAAGAGTTTTCCATGTAAAGGAAATAAAGACCTACTTCCCTAGGGTGCTTAGAGTCTCCCAGGTGAATTTGTTGCAATCCTAATAAGAATGAATCATCACTGTTTTTCCTGCTGCATAATCTGATTTCTTCAGGTTAGTTGGAATGATGTTAATGCTTGAGAGACCATTGCCAAAGTGCGAGAGCTAGGAGAGCAAAGAGTAGTGTTGGTCCTGTTCCTGCTGCCTGGTTCATGCCTGTATGCAGCCAAAGTGAGATTATCCACTTGCAGAATAGGTCCTGACCCCAACCTGTGCACTAATATGTTCAGAAAGGTCCAGGATATATTAGAAATGCACCTGGTGGGATCAGCATGTGATCAGAGAAGAAGTTAATTAGCTCTACTTTATGAGGAACTGAGAGAGATACTTTGTTATTAGGTTAAGATATGCTTGTAATCCACTGAGATCAACATCTTACAGTTAGTCTGTACAGTATGGCTGTTTTTCCTTTAAGGTCATTGGTCACCTGGAACATGGAAGAAGTGTTTGACTAGGAAGGAAGGCCCTGGAGAAGCTGTTGTCCCAGGCAAGAATGGGAAGTTTGCACAGCTGTAAACTAAAAATATTTCTGAATATTCTGGTGTCTGCTATTTCAAACTGAACTTGGTAGAGCTAGAACTTAAATATTTCAAGTAATTTCTAAGTGTGCCCATTGCTATTTAGATTGTAGGCAGGAGACAGAAGAGAATTAAGTGCATCTGTATGAACTTCCTACTGGCTATCCTACATAATTTCCTAATACATTCTTCTTCAGTTCACTTATGTGAGGTACTTGTGTTTCTCCAAGGACTATGTAGCATGTCTGAAGATTAATGTCTGAATAAAGCTGTTGTGGACACTTCGCACTTGGTTGTACTGGGGTCAGTGGTGAGGAAGCAGTATTGTCCTGGTTTGGATCAAGCATGCCCTTTTATGCCTGTTCAGGTTTGGTTCATAAGTACGTAAGTGGCCTCTCAAGTATATTGCTCATTATTATTATTTATAAATTATTTATTATTATTATTATTTACATACTGAGCTTTAACTAAAGGAGGCAACACACTTTGAGGTGAATGTGTTCTTTAGGTTGGGTCATGCCCTTGGTATTCCACATCCTGAAAAGGAGGGATAGTGGTGTTGGTAATTCTGGAAGGTCAGACTGTGGAAATCAAAACTATTGTCTAAAGTGGCTGAAATGTTTGACTTAAAATAAGTGGTACTCTAGATTTAAGAAATAAGACCAGAGCATTCATTGGTTGTGAGTGAGTTCATGTAGTGTAACAACCAGAAGTTGCACACTGACATTTTTGCTAAGTCCAGACAGGAGTGAGTGAAGCAGTCACAGATATGTGCTCTCACAAGATGATGCTATTAATTTTCTACATACAAAGTAATTCTGGAGGTTATTCTAGAAAGATTAAGGAATTTTTTTAAGGTTTTAAAAAGATATTCAAGAACAGTTTTGCAGCTTTTATTGTTCTGGTGGTTTTTGAGTTGTTTTTAAAATAAAGCATTGGTTTTAGCTTTTCATTAAAAAAAAAACAGGAGGAAACTGTTGATGATAAACCTGAGTGTTCTTAACATCGAAGTAATATGGTTCAGACAGTCCTTGAGGACCTGTGTGAGTAGGAAACATTTTTTTTTTTTTTTTTTTATGGTTTCACAGACACCATCAGTGGCCTACTGGCTCATGCTGCCCTTCTGTCAGGACTAATAACAGTGCTGGCTGGCAGAGATGAGGAGAAAGGGGTTCAGTATCTGCTGAAGGAGAGGCATGAAGTCGCTGGAGGTTGGGCTGTGTCTAGGGAGAGTACGGAAAAACGCCTTTGCCCAGGTGGTTTGGGAAACAGCATTCCCTGGAGCAAAGGGGAGGTTGTTGTTGTCATTGGGCAGGGCCTTGTACTGTACTTGGGGAGGTTGATGGCCTTGGAAAAAGTAGTGCAGGTCAGTAATTGTTTATTTTTGTTCTTCACTGTGCTGTAAAATGTGCAGGGCATCATATTATTTTAGTCTATAACTTATTCTTACTTGCCACCTCACACTTAACCCAGTGTGTTAGATTTACCAAGCTCTTGTGGTTATACATCTCAGTGAGGTCTCATGTAAGACTGTGTCCCTGTGATTGTGGCTTCGAAAACACAAAACTGGTTTCAGACATTAATCAAATTCCTTATTTAGAAGAAAGATGTAGTTCGGCTCCTCAGGCTACAGCATTGTGAAGAAGTTTGACCTATTCCTCTAGTCGCTGTGTTGAAGGCTGATTTTTCTTTTTTTTTTTTTTTTTTTTTCAGAGGTGTTGTCAAAGTCGACATCAATCTGCAGAAGGTGGACATTGACCAGTGTTCAAATGAGGGGTGGTTCTCGGGGACACACAGGTGTCATCTCAACAATTCTGAGGTACGTCTGTCCCTAGGGGATTGAGCTGCACTTCAATAACAAGTTTTTCTACTATGAATTGTTTTCTGTAGTATGAACGCTATCTATTTTAAAGATGTTGAGTGTGGCTTGTAGGCTGGAAAGATCTTTCTGCACAAGGTGTTTTGGTATGTGTGAGTTTCAGGAGTGCCTGCATTTCAGGAATAACGGTGTAAAACAAAACAGAAGCTAAGTTACTGTGCAGAAATAACAGCTATAGGGAAAATATTACCAGTGAAATGATTTATGAGTTCTGCTTCCAAGTCAATTATACTCTAAACAAAAACAGGCTTTTAGTAAGTGTCACTTTTGAATGGACGTCTTGCAAAATACAGCAAAAGTGGCTCAAATGCTGATAGTAATTATTCATAAAAACATAGGTTTTGATAGAATGATTCAGGATAATAGGCAAAATTGGACACTGTAATTCTTTCCTATTAAAAATCCCAACATTTTGATAGAGCTGACTAAATGTTTCTGTTCAGCTCCTTCCTGTTTCCCTTTTCTTCTGAAGGTCTGGCTCTGTCAGCATATTGTAGATTGTTCAGCCTGGCCGGTCACATGTGTTCAGTGAAACTTAAATAAAATACATTAAATGATTTTTCTTTTTATGATGGCATATGATGTTGTTTTCAAAGGCATTTGTTTTCTGTGAGAGTAGGTAAGTCATGCAGTTACGTGCTTTCAGAAAGGACAATCAAAATGTAGGG